TCGCACTCGTATTGCAGGCATTAACTTCCTCAGGTTGGTACAAAGGAGCAATTACGATTCAGGCGCACTCGAGAGTGTCTGGCGATGGTATCGGCGTCGAAATTAGACCTTACACGAAATCACGAAGCGGAACATGCGACAGGAACCAGCATGATTCGCAGAGGAGACCGCAGTCCCTTGGCACGTTGATCCTGGGACTTGGTCCATCAATATTAATAAGATCTAACCGGAACAGCGAGCACATGATCGATTCTACAATTTGTCTGCTAGTTAGCAAGGTTTTTTTGTTATGGCTTTAGGGTTGCTGTTTTGGTTGACTAAATATTGTCTTTGTCTATGATATTGTTTATGATGTTGTTTATGACGTTGTCTATGACATTGTCTATGACATTCTGTATGACATTGTGTATGATGTTGTTTATGATGTTGTTTATGACATTGTCTATGACATTCTGTATGACATTGTGTATGATGTTGTTTATGACGTTGTCTATGACATTGTTTATGACATTGAGTATGACATTGTGTATGACATTGTGTATGACATTGTCTATGACATTGTGTATGACATTGTGTATGACATTGTCTATGTCATTGTCCATATTATTGTCTATGTCATTGTCCATGACACATTGTCTATATTACATTGTCTATGTCACATTGTCTATGTCACATTGTCTATATTACATTGTCTATGTCACATTGTCTATGTCACATTGTCTATATTACATTGTCTATGACACATTATCTATGTCACATTGTCTATATTACATTGTCTATGACACATTATCTATGTCACATTGTCTATATTACATTGTCTATGACACATTATCTATGTCACATTGTCTATATTACATTGTCTATGACACATTATCTATGTCACATTGTCTATATTACATTGTCTATGACACATTATCTATGTCACATTGTCTATATTACATTGTCTATGACACATTATCTTCACATTGCCTATGTCACATTGTCTATATTACATTGTCTATGTCACATTGTCTATGTCATACTGTCTATGTCATATTGTCTATGTTACATTGTCTATGTCACATTGTTTATGTCACAATGTCTATATTACATTGTCTATGTCACATTGTCTATGTCACATTGTCTATGTCACAATGTCTATGTCACATTGTCCATGTCACATTGTCCATGTCACAATGTCTATGTCATTGTCTATGTCATCTACACCTCTTCATTGTCATCATGATCATCTGCTGTCATCATCCACATTGACCTCCAAGTAAATAAACGGTGAACCTACATAAATTCATGTCTCATCTGCTTTATTTTCCACCTTTATTTTCAATTTAAAATAATGCATGTATTATATACCAGTAGGTTTAGCGTTAACGACCATCGTGTCAGTTTGGAATGGTGCCCGAGGGAACGAGACATAGAGTGTCGTAATAGCTGCACCTTCTCGACCAACTCCATAAACACCGAACGACTTAAAAAACGATAAGTTCAGCAAAAACACGTCGTGTAGTCTTTAGCGAGTTTCTTACGAATCTCTTAGTATCTTAGTGCCAGCTTTTATATCTTCTTCTATCGCCATCCGATGCTCGTTCAGAGTTTAGTTGCTTCATTCGAGTACCTTTCCTTCTTCTTTGCACTTGAAGTTACTTCGAAATTAGTTTACGAATCGATGGATTCATTTGGGTGGAGTTGATTGCCTTCGTGAGGGGAATATTTAATACTTATGGAAGTATACTTGAGGCTTCAGAGTAAATATGGGGTGATAAACTATTTTTTACCATGAACTATAAAAGCATTGGATGATTTTTTAGGTTTTAAGTGAGACTTGTTTAGGAGGAGGTGAGATGAGGTTGGGGTATGAGATAAGTTTAAGATGGATGTGAGATAATTTTCAGAAGGTGGGTGTTTAATAAATCCCCCAATTCCAAATCACCCAAATTCCATATCCCCCAATTCCAAATCACCCAACTTCTCAAATTCCCAAATTTCAAATCACCCAACTTCTCAAATCCCCAAATTCCAAATCCCCCAATTCCAAATCTCCCGAATTCCAAATCCCCCAATTCCAAATCATCCAACTTCTCAAATCCCCAAATTCCAAATTCTCCAATTCCAAATGTCTCAAATTCCAAATCCCCCAATTCCAAATCACCCAATTCCAAATCATCCAACTTCTCAAATCCCCAAATTCCAAATCTCCCGAATTCCAAATCCCCCAATTCCAAATTACCCAATTCCAAATCATCCAACTTCTCAAATCCCCAAATTCCAAATTCCCCGAATTCCAAATCCCCCAATTCCAAATCATCCAACTTCTCAAATCCCCAAATTCCAAATTCTCCAATTCCAAATGTCTCAAATTCCAAATCCCCCAATTCCAAATCATCCAACTTCTCAAATCCCCAAATTCCAAATTCTCCAATTCCAAATGTCTCAAATTCCAAATCCCCCAATTCCAAATCATCCAACTTCTCAAATCCCCAAATTCCAAATTCTCCAATTCCAAATGTCTCAAATTCCAAATCCCCCAATTCCAAATCATCCAACTTCTCAAATCCCCAAATTCCAAATTCTCCAATTCCAAATGTCTCAAATTCCAAATCCCCCAATTCCAAATCATCCAACTTCTCAAATCCCCAAATTCCAAATTCTCCAATTCCAAATGTCTCAAATTCCAAATCCCCCAATTCCAAATCCCCCAATTCCAAATCCCCCAATTCCAAATCACCCAACTTCTCAAATCCCCAAATTTCAAATCACCCAACTTCTCAAATCTCCAAATTCCAAATCCTCCAATTCCAAATCCCCCACCTCCAAATTCCAAATCCTCCAATTCCAAATCCCCCACCTCCAACTCCCCAAATCTCCAAATTCCAAATCCACCTAACCCCACCAAAACTATCCCGTCAATTACCTCACCAAAGATGTCCCGCAACCCTGCGTCATAAAGGGTTAAGATAATCCCTGCACGGTTTCCATTAGCGTTCTGGTTCCAAAAATTCGGCAACAGACGTCGACAGAGTACAATGCAGAATCCGTTGGCAAGTTTCGCGAACGGCAAAGAGCCTAACCACGGTCTCGGCTCGACAAAGTGGTGCATCGTCGGTACGAAATTAGCTTACGGATTCGCGATAAGCGGCTTACGTTTCGAGCTAGGATAATCCTCCAGGCCGGTCTTCGATTCTTGATCGTCAGGCTCTTTGAACTTGCGGCTCGCGCTGGGCTCTTTAAGAGCACCACCACACCGCCAGGAATAACAATCTCGCCGCTTTAATCGGCACGGAATTATTATTTCAGGCCAATGACCAGCCGTGGCCAATTTCAAGCCAGTTTCGACTATTCTGGGCGCAGCTGCGCCCATCGTCCAGTGGCAGATGCGCGAATCGCTCGCGATATTCATAAATCATGATATCCTCAACACTTTTTATTAACCTTCGTACGCGGGTGCACTTTTGATCTTTCGGGTTCTACGAACTGATCGCGTTGATTTGACGTGATGAGTCGGATGGGTATTGCTTTTATTGTTATTGTTATTTATGGAGGGAAGATTGACATATGTTCTGTAAATGGTATTATGTGTTCTTGTGTCGAGAGATGATGTAGAGACGGAGTTTGTGGAGTTTGAAGAGTATTGGAAGGAGATGTGGAGTATTGTTTAGGGTGTTTGTGATGTACATAGGAGGATTTTTGAGATTAGGGTCTAACTGCTTTGAAATGGTGAAGTAGGGATGTGGACATTTGGAGTTCTGGTATTTAGGTTTCTTGATTAGTAGATGCTGAGATGTGGAGCCATGGGCTGTAGACCTGGGATTATAGGTTAGGGACCTAGAATTTGGGACTTTGAGAGAATGAAACTAAGGATTTTGGGACTTTGAGAGTTTTGGAACTAGAATTTAGGACTTTGAAGTCATGGAACCTAGGATTTTGGGACTTTCAGTGCTTTGGATCTGGAATTTGGGACTTTGAGAGCTCTGGACCTAGAATTTGGGACTTTGAGTGCTTTGGATCGAGAATTTGGGACTTTGAGAGCTCTGGACCTAGAGTTTGGGACTTTGAGACCTTGGAACTGAGGATTTTGGGACTTTGAGAGCTCTAGACCTAGAATTTGGATCTTCGAGATCATGGAACTTAGGATTTTGGGACTTTGAGTGCTTTGGATCGAGAATTTGGGACTTTGAGAGCTCTGGACCTAGAGTTTGGGACTTTGAGACCTTGGAACCCAGGATTTTCGGACTTTGAGTGCTTTAGATCTAGAATTTGGGACTTTGAGAGCTCTGGACCTAGAGTTTGGGACTTTGAGACCTTGGAACTGAGAATTTTGGGACTTTGAGAGTTCTGGACCCAGAATTTGGGACTTTGAGAGCTCTGGACCAAGAATTGTGGACTTTGAGGACTTCAGACCTAGAATTTAGTACTTTGAGTACCTAGCACCTAGAATTCCGACATTCTATGACTTTAAGTCACTAGAACCCCAGAACCTTGATATCCTGACACTTTATGACTCAGATACATCAAAATTTGAGAAAATACCTCAAGATAGGGCTTTGTACTATACTTTAGCTCTCATCTCACATTTTGTACTTTAGCTCTCATCTCACACTTCATACTTTAGCTCTCATCCTCGCTTTAGTAATACTCACAAATTCCAAGTGTCCAAAAATCCTTTTCTCCATCATCCCCTTCCTACTAATATTCTAAATATTCTAAAATATTCTAAAATAATAACTATCAAATCAATATCTATCAAACCCACCCTGCACTCCCTAATATCAAATAACAAAATTTCAATTTAATATTCCAAGTAAACGCTATCCAATCAAACAGCGACATTTTCTCTCGCAAACACAGACAAGGACAAAACTTTCCGTGAGATCCGATACTCGGTTCGCAGCGCAGCATCAATCAATCGAGGCAACGTCTTAGTTGGTATCGGTGGAACGGTACTTTGAATCGAACTAAACGCCAGCAAATTAGTTAATGGATCTCTGGTAGGATAAGGCACTCACCTCTTTCCCTTTGATATCTCTGTATCGGACCCACTTGCCCAGACGCGGTCGCCAGTACTCGAGCAGATACGCCTCTGCATACTCAACGCCCAGGCCATTCCCGAAACGACCTTGAGTAGCCGTTGCCGTGATCAAGTGAACCGTATGAAGGTCGATTTCCAACCATTCTCGGGCTTCTTGGGTGATCTGATTCTTGGGACACCATGCGCCACCGAGATTCTCTACTTTTAATCTGAAACAGATGGTAACATTTCACGGTTAGTTACGTTGGGCTCTCAACCTTGGAGAGGAGGGTTAACACTTTGAATCTGTTGGATGCAAATGATCTTGGGGACTATTACTGCTTTTTGGACCAGAGAGTTTTTGCCTTTTGTGGAATTTATAATAGAAGATTATTGTTGAGGTTACTTGTGGACGTCTTTGTTAATATATCTTCTGGGAGAAGGTTATTGTTGAGGTTACTTGTGGACGTCTTTGTTAATATATCTTCTGGGAGACACATGCTCGGTAATGTTATAACAATTTTATAATTCATGTCATGATAATTTTATTAATATTAGACTTGTCTGATTGTGTGTCTATTGCCAGTTTCTGAACATTTTTTTTTTTAAGAGACATATGTGGGTAAACTTAATGTGACCTCAAATGGGTAATGTTATAATAATTTCATAATAAATAATGTCTTGAAAATTTGATAATATATAATGTCATAATAATTTAATAATAAATAATGTCTTAATAATATGATAATAAATAATGTCTTAAAAATTTGATAATGAATAATGTCTTGAAAATTTTATAATAAAAAATGTCTTAATAACCTCATAATAAAAAATGTCTGAATAACTTCATAATAAAAAATGTCTGAATAATTTTATAATAAAAAATGTCTTAATAACCTCATAATAAAAATTGTTTGAATAATTTTATAATAAAAAATGTCTTAATAATCTCATAATAAAAAATGTTTTAATAACTTCATAATAATTATGCACATATATATAAAGTCTTGAATGTTCCTCAAAAAATGTTACTCACTATCGATCATTTAATTAAAAATATGAGAATCGATAGCGATTTAATATATTTCTGACCGAACTAATTAAAAGCAAAAATATCGTTCAGTTTGTCAAGATTGTCGAAGAGGATTCCGATATCGTAACGAGCATCGGGTAACTTTTAATATGCTCATTTTTTCCGTTCATAAATTCGAGTACCCTCCTGAAAGTTCTCAGATCGAAGATGCACGTTAAATAGAAGCTCGAAGGGTTCGTAAAAAGGAAGAACAAGCGAACTCCGACGATAAGTACATAAGCGATGCGTGAAACTTCTCGAAACCGCCTTTGTCACGTGAGCCCTTAACGCCGTTCGATCTGGCGATAAAGATGCCTCGAAACATTTTATACTTCTTCGAAACGAACTAATAAATGCCGGTTTCTCCCTCGTGAAACTTGAAAACTCTTCAAACTCGTTTCGCGGAACGCAATTTCAATCGTCATTAAAAAACAAACAGCGGAGGGAGAGCTCATTTAAAATTAAAAACGAGGAAAATAATCATAACACCTTAAAATCTTCGCACCCTCGAAACTTGCTCACCCGGGGGACCAGCTGTCCAAAGTTTCAACGCTCGTGAAGCTTTACGTATTCTCCTCTTTTCTTCCCCTTGCAAACAATCGGCAAAACAGAAAGCATGGAATTCGTCGACGTAACGAAACGTGACGAAAATGATAACCACAGGAAATTGCACGGTAAACGACACTGCACGTCAGGGAATATGGAAGTTTACAGATTTGTTGGAAGTATCGTTCGAAAAGTATCGTTTAATGGCGACGAAAGTAGATGTATAGGCAAATATAGGGATGGATTAATCCCAGTGTAGATCCCAGTGTTGAAGCTTCGTTTTTGAATTATTAAGGAAAAACGCGGACCAATCAGAGCGCGAGGATTATTACGCGTTCAACTACTACGCGTCGAATATCTACGCGTTGGATTACTACGCGTTGGATATCCACACGCTGGATTACTACGCGTTAGATTACCACGCATTAGATTCCTACAACAATCTTAGTCTATAATTGCAAAAATTTAGTAATTTGTAACTTAATAATTTAATAATTTGTAGCCAGGTAAATTTAGACATTAGACAATAATACAGCAACATATTAATTTAATAATATAACAACATAGAAATATAGGAAAATATAATAATTTAGCAAGAAAGAATCTCAAAATATTACAACCATCAAAGCATCAAAAACGTGAAATTTTAATTTTGCTCCCACAAACCACCATATATGGTGTCTCACAACTACTGTAGGTCCCTGAAATGGGGGGTAGCTGACACGATTCTGAATAAGATTTCCCTTTTCAAAAATGGGGTCTGAAGCTTCGTTTTTGAATTATTAAAGAAAAACCGCGGACCAATCAGAGCGCGAGGATTATTATGCGTTGGACTACTACGCGTCGGATATCCACGCGTTGGATTACAACGCGTTGGATATCCACATGCTGGATTACTACGCGTTATATTACCACGCATTAGATTCCTACGCGTAGGATTACCACGCATTGCATTATTACGCGTTGGATTACTACGCGTCGAATATCCACGCGTTGGATTACTACGCGTTGGATATCCACACGCTGGATTACTACGCGTTGGATTACCACGCATTAGATTCCTACGCTTAGAATTACCACGCGTTGCATTATTA